GGAGAGGAAAGCTCCTGCAAGGTGTGACAATCTCCCCCACCAGTTGAAGAGCCCCCCAGGTGGCTCGACGCACCGGCGATTTTTAGTCCTTTTTAAAAATCAGATCAAACTTGTTGAACTCAAAATTACTTTTTTACTTTTTTTCTAGCCATGTTTACTCCATTCGAGATGGAAGCAAATGAAAAAACATACATATCAGAAACTTTTAAGGTTTACGAAAAGGTGATAGCGTTGGTTAAAATATATTTCTTATATTTCTGTACAGTAAACAAGAAAATATGTTTGTTTGCATACCAAGCATCTTCACATGATTTTTAGTCTCTCTTTACTCTGAAATGAAATGTTAACCCATGATTAAATTATTAGACTAGTAAATTAGTAAATTATAGATTATATAATATTAAATATTGAATCCAGAGAAAATGATTTCTGTATGAATGTTCAACAAGTATTTAAAATTAATTTTAAAAGTCACAAAAAGCTGATACACAGTCCTCTGCAAGTCAGCTTTAAAAGTAACAAAATATCAGAAATCAGACAAACTATAACTTGCACTAAAACATGCCACGCCATTTATATTATAACACACTCACACACATAGAGTTTTTTTTAACTCAATAGTTACATCATCCCATGATTACTTCCTTAGAGAAGTTGCTCAGATTATAGGAAATGGTCTTGTGCTGGATGCACCGAGGGCGAGTGGAACAAATACCAGACCAAAAATAGAAGAGCCCTCCCACCCAGTTACTGTGTGTGTGTGTGTGTGTGTGTGTGTGTGTGTGTGTGTGTGTGTGTGTGTGTGTGTGTGTGTGTGTGTGTGTGTGTGTGTCTGAGAGTTTGACAGTAATATAGTGCACGTAAGAAAGAAAATGAGAAGAGACTAATACAATTAATAAAATATGGTAAAGGGCTCATACAGTGTTGTGTACAAGTCCTGACCATCTTTATGCTTTACTTGGCTGACAAACTAGTATTGAAATAAGTTGAAAGATAAAAATTTAAAAATTCAGCTATTAGTAGGTAGAAGACTGACCATTCTAAATTAAATACCGCACGTGTTTATTATTCATCATTCTATTATTCTTCATTTCTCTAATAAGTCTTTATTATTCTTATTTTACCATTTCACACATCAAGGCCAGTGAAACTGCTATATAACTTACCATGTGGTTAGGGTTAGGGTCTTAGAGGGTTCGATGCCTTGATATCTCGCTCTGTGACTTTGCACTTGTGCTGGATGCACAAGGGCGACCGTGCTGTACAAACTCTAGCACCAAAGCTGTGGAACAGTTTACCTCCCCCTCTACATACCATTAACTCTGTGGCTTCTTTTAAAAGCTGGTTTTTATATTCCCCGTAAAGCACTTTTTAATAGAATCCTGTTGTTAAAAGTGCTATATAAATCAGTTTTACTTACATACTTAGCCTGATTCTCTGACCTCACCTGCAGCTCAAGTGTTATGTAACCCTCCATGGCGTCAAGGCTTTTATGCTAACATCAGCATGTGTAGTAGGCTATCCACAGAAACCTTAGAATCTCAGCTAAATTCTCATACAAACCTTTTGTACAACCACCACATGTAAACGGCTAAAGAAAGGCTAGTTAGCTTCTAGAGCTATCACCAATTCCAAACACCAAGTTTCACCATGCTCCAACTAAAATTCAGTGAACGAGCCGCAAAAGAAGACCACAAAAATGCGTAGTGGCACAAATAAAACAGAGTTTTTAATTGCAGAGAAATGCTCCACTGCTTTTGGGCATTTCATTTTCAAGCAGGAAGCTCAGAAAACCCCTAGGGGCTTAACAGTGACCAAATATATGGGTCCATCTCTCTGTTAGCACTGCGTCAGACTGACCAGGGTGTTCCCTGCCTCTCGCCCTGTGCAAGTTGGCTCCTCTTTTCCAGATATTTGCTCAGTAGGTACAAATGAACAACTTAATAATAAATCGTAGGATGTCCCATTTTTCTTCATGACATGTTTACTTTTGTGCTATATCAGTATTTGTTTTTGTTTGTGTGTCTGTGCCTGCTTGCACATCTTATAAGGCTGAAAACTAAAGCAGACAGAGCTTTCACCACAGCGGCCTCCAGACTCTTTTTTGACTTGCGTTTGGTAAACTTTTATTTTCTTCTTTTTAATGATCTGGTATTTTTGTTGTGAAGTACTTTGTGACTCAAAAGTCGGTATATAAAAACTTACTTACTTGTTTATTTGGTGTCAAAACCAAAAGGATGAGAGAAAAAACAAAGACTACTGTATGATACACAGTCAGTCTTAAACCTTGTGAAGTAGTATTGACCTCCAGCTCCAGTCCATCATTTACATAACCAGGAGGCACTCTGAAGGGCACCTCTTAGCCAAACAATGGACTGCTACCCAACTTCTGGAAAAGGTGCAGCAGACTGTTTTTCTAAACCAGCTTCTGTCTCCAAAAGTCTTCATATGTACTCTGCAGATGTGTATATTACGTACATGCAGTACCTACATGCATGTATTGATATAGATATGGGTAGATGAACATTGGTGTGTATATACTGAAACCAGGCTGGAGGGTTCCTGTTTTCTTATTGTTAAAGGGATGTAGTGGAGTGTGGTCTGTGACTCAGCTGCAGGGAGGGGTAGTGCATTGGGTTTAGGGGGCAGTGCCAGGGGAGGCTGGCCAACGCAGCTGGCAATGACCATCTAATCATGCCTTTCCTATTTCAGTGGCACGTGGAGACCTGGACCCTTCCAGGTCTCCACATGCCACTGAAGGAGAGAAGGAGAGAAGCGGGAAGTGGACAGCAGCAGAGAGCAAAACACAAACAGAAACTCTCTATGAGCTAGTTGATGACATCATCCTGAGCCATCCTGTAAATCAAAGACTGTAGAGCACTGAAACGCTTGTCCTGGTCAGGAATAGCACCGAATCATGTTACAATCCCTGTGGGATGGAGTTTTTCCAATCCCACATTAGCAAAGAGCTTGCTCATGGGGGTCATTTGATTGTTGGCGTTTTCTCTGTATTACATTGTGTAGTCTTTACATTATAATAAAAAGTGCCTTAAAGAAAGCAAAGCAAATCAGTTCTGTCGGTTTGACAGCTTTATACTCCATAAAATGTTACCATTGTTTCATTTAACTCTGTAAGTCATGACAGAATATTGAAATTGTCAAAAACTTTTATACAAGTATTTTAAAATGTATTTATCACGGTTCAGCATAACAGAATAAAAAAAACAGTCAGCTAAGGCCACGTGTTTTTTGAGCAATGATAATTACTAATTTGGTAATTTTGGATAGGTATACCATTACAGCACATTTTAAGCAAACAGCTGAGATGAGATTAAAGTGCAGAGTTTCTGAAAATGAAACTGTCAGTTGGGTTAAGGATAAAAAACTTTCCAAACAGAATCTATCAACAGGAAATACACTGTGTATTTACCACATTTTACTTTCTATTTAAACGAGTCAACTTTTCACTGCTGCTGTCGGTGTATAAGTTTGTGTGTTTTGGTGGATTGCCTCTAAAACTACCTAACTGTTCTTTACGGCTTTTGTCTTGTCTTTCACTTTTTCTTTCTGTTTACTTCAAGAATATCCAGTGCTTTATGGTACCTTAATCATGTTTAAACAAATCATATCGTGTGATAGAGTATACTAATACATCTTGTCGCATAGCTTTACTCTGTGACAAGATGTTTCTAATTTAAAAGATGTATTTTTTTTTTACTTTATTATTAAAAATGCATTGATCAGAAAAAAACAAACTGCACCTTCCATCTACTAAACCAATTCAAACGATTGAAATAAAAAGACGACTGCCTAACGTGAAGTAAAAAAAACACCTTCAGCTGCACGATTGTTAATTCTCACCTACTGTACAGATGTCTCAAAAAACATTTCTAATTTCCTTTTCTTGTTTTCTGTTTGATCGGCTTGTCACTCAAAATTTAAATGAAAGCCTTCTAACTACCCCTAGCTCAAATTAATGACACCCCCTTTTCCTGTCAGTTGTCCTTTTACCTTTTTCACATCTTGTAGCTATTTTTGGCTGCTAGGACACACACACAGACAGAGGGTGGACTTTTGATCTAGTATTTAGTCCTCTTCCCCACAGTGGACACACCATAAGAGCATTTCTTATAACCCAAGCAACTTCAAGTAATTGAAGTAAGTAATCATGGGATTTTTTACATATGCGATTTTTTTCCTTCTAAAGTGTATACATTAATTGTCAGTGTGCGCATTTTGAGTGTCTTTTGTATTTTTGATTTCTTTTTGCTGTTTGGGGAAAATGTTTTAGTTCTAGTGTTTACAGTTAGAACCTAACCAAGACTAAACTCCATACCAAGTCTAAGTGTAGTTAGTCTTATGTTCTGTTTTCTTGTTGATGTGTCTTTCCCTGTTTCCTGTATGAGCCTGTATGTCTCTTAAGTTATGCCTGTGTCTCCCTCTATCTAAAAACTATGTAAACTCTTTCGGTTTACATATTCCCCTCATTATATTACTCTGTGTCTCCCCAGCATGTCTCCTCCCATCGTTGTGTGAAATAGTCTGCGTCTTATTGTTTCCTGTTTTACTTTGACAGTGTCGTGTCCTGTGTTCAGTGTGTATAGTTTTGCTTCCTCTGTGTTGTCAGTCCAACTTGCTCCAGTTTTGTTCCCTGTGTGTTTCCACTCTCCCTAATTACCCTTGTGCACTTATATTGTGTCTTTTTTCCTCTTTCCTTTGTCAGATTGTCTCTATTTCCTCTGTGTCCTTTGTGTTATGGTCCAGTTCCCTCATTCGATTTTCCCTGTGTTTTACTTTTGCTTTTGTTTTTCAAGTTTAGTCAGTTAGCCTGGTCTCGGTTTCATGTTTTGCCTTTTATGTTAACATTGCAGCTTCAATAAACGGCTCGCTTTCTGTTCAGCTTTATTAATTTAAAATGTCTGTAGAACATTAATCAATAATGAATAAATTGTTTAAAAACTTGTGTCAGAGTGGAAATATATATGGGCCTGACTGTATTTACATATAAATTTGTTGGGATTATTTGAAGTTAAATAAGGCCAAGTGTGAATCTGACAAACATTTTTGCAATTTTGAAAAAATAATACTTAAGCTAATGAAATTTCTCTTGTTTTTTTTTCAGATATGGAGGCTGAGGGTAAGTGATGTAATGTAGCAGTCCTACAGTCATTTTCAGAATGTCTTTTAAAACTAAAATAGTGGTAAGGTGTGCGGTGAGATGAGAGATGAGAGAAAATGGGAGTAGAGAGAAGAAGAAGAGAGAGAAGAGAAGAAAACACAAAGGAAGCTGTTTGAGAGGAGTAGAAGTTACATGTATAACATGTACAAGTACAGTGGGATGCAAAAGTTTGGGCAACCTTGTTAATAGTCATTATTTTCCTGAATAAATCATTGGTTGTTACAATAAAAAATTAAATGTCAGTTAAATATATCATATACGAGACACACACAGTGATATTTGAGAAGTGAAATGAAGTTTATTGGATTTACAGAAAGTGTGCAATAATTGTTAAACAAAATCAGGCAGGTGCATAAATTTGGGCACAACAAAAAAAGAAAGAAAATCAACATTTAGTAGATCCACCTTTTGCAGAAATTACAGCCTCTTAACGCTTCCTGTAGGTTCCAATGAGAGTCTAGATTGTGGTTGAAGGTATTTTGGGTTTGATGGCTTCCGAGCATGGACAGCTCTCTTTAACTCACACCACAGATTTTCAATAATATTCAGGTCTGGAACTGAGATGGCCGTTCCAGAACGTTGTACTTGTTCCTCTGCATGAATGCCTTAGTGGATCTTGAGCAGTGTTTCAGGTTGTTGAAAGATCCAGCCCCGGCGCAGCTTCAGCTTTGTCACTGATTCCTGGACATTGGTCTCCAGAATCTGCTGATACTGAGTAGAATCCATGTGTTCCTCAACTTTGACAAGATTCCCAGTCCCTGCACTGGCCACACAGCCCCACAGCATGATGGAACCACCACCATGTAGGTAGCAGGTGTTTTTCTTGGACTGCTGTGTTCTTTTTCCTCCATGCATAACGCCCCTTGTTATGCCCAAATAACTCAATTTTAGTTTCATCAGTCCACAGCACCTTATTCCAGAATGAAGCTGGTTTTTCCAAATGTGCTTTAGCAAACCTCAAGTGGCCCTGTTTGTGCTGTGGGCGGAGAAAAGGCTTCCTCTGCATCACTCTCGCATACAGCATCTCCTTGTGTAAAGTGCGCCAAATGATTGAACGATGCACAGTGACTCCATATGCTGCAAGATGATGTTGTATGTCTTTGGTGCTGGTCTGTGGGTCGACTCTGACTGTTCTCTTCATTCGTCGCTTCTGTCTATCCGAGATTTTTCTTGGCCTGACACTTCGAGACTTAACTTGAACTGAGCCTGTGGTCTTCCATTTTCTCAATATGTTCCTAACTGTGGAGACAGACAGCTTAAATCTCTGAGGCAGCTTTCTGTATCATCATGATGGTGAACAATCTTTGTCTTCAGGTCATTTGACAGTTGTTTTCAGACCCTCATGTTGCTACTCTTCAGGGAAAATAAAAAGAGGAGGGACGCTTACAATTGACTCCCTTAAATACTCTTTCTCATTATTGGATTCACCTGTGTATGTAGGTCAGGGGTCACTGAGCTTACCAAGCCAATTTCCCTTCCAATAATTAGTTCCAAAGCTTTTGGAATCAATAAAATGACAACAGTGCCCAAATTTATGCACCTGCCTGATTTTGTTTAACAATTATTGCACACTTTCTGTAAATTCAATAAACTTCATTTCACTTCTCAAATATCACTGTGTGTGTCTCGTATATGATATATTTAACTGACATTTTTTATTGTAACAACCAACGATTTATACAGGAAAATAATGACTATTAACAAGGTTGCCCAAACTTTTGCATCCCACTGTATAAGCACACAGGGAGAAACACGGGACACGGTGAGCAGAGAAACGTAGGTAACATAGATGGACCAACAGCCTGTTTGGTGCCCTGGGCGAACATTTTCGCGTATATGTGTGTGATAGAATTTAGAAAACACATCGGTGGAAATTATAAGTCTATATCATAATGTCTTCAGTTTTTGTGTTTGTTGTAGGCCTGTCAATGTTAATGCGTTAACGCTGTCATCATGATTATCGCGAATAAAATTTGTAATGCAATCAACCCATCTGGAGCGCAGAATGGACAAACTTTGGACAAACAGCCTGAAATGCTTTGACAGAAACATTTCAGGGATTTTGAGTAATTCTGCGCCCCAGATGGATTAATTGTGTTAAAATTTTTAATCGCGTTAATTGTGATGACAGCGTAAAACGTTGACAGCCCTAGTTTGTTGGTTTGTTTTTGTGTAGTTTTGTTTTTCGAGCTGGTTATTAGGTGCCACTCCGTTTATGCTCAGCCATTGTTGTGAGTGCGCATGCCAGGGGCTGCGACACATTTATTCAGCCGTATTTCGCACATGACTATGAAAGGCGTAAGGGGAAGTAGTTCCTTACAATCCAGACGATCCGAATGAGTTTCTTTCCACTGTGTTCCCGTTAATGATAAACTACAAATTTACCCCAAAGTACTAAAATATTGATATTTTAATATGAGAATCGATTCTAGAACATAAATTACTGGTATCAGAAGAATCGATATTTCCGTATCGATCCGCACACCACTACCAGTCGCCCATCTCAAAAACCACTACTGACTGGAGAACACACACTAATATACACAAAGGGAAATGAGGAAACCGCACACAGGAGGGAGACACAGCTGAACCTAATAAGCAAGACGAGACAGGCAAAACTGAACACACTGACATAAGACAAAGACCTTCACAATAAAACAGGAAACTCAAAAAACACATGCAAAGACACAGACTAAGAGACACGGGCTTTACACAAAGACCTGACTGAACTGGAACAGAGGGAGCATGGGAACCAAAACCTAGGAACGAGAAATCATAACAAAAGACATGACCAGAATAACCTAAAGCATAAGATAATAATAATTAAAACAAAACATTTGTCAAATGACCCAGGACCATGACATTTAGTGAGATTAGGTTAAATGGTCATTCTAGATGAGGTGTGAGTCCGTAGGTCTGAATGTGAGTACAAATGGTTGTCTGTCTCTAAGTGTTAGCCCACAGGTGACCTGTCCAGGATGTAGTCTGCCTCTTACGCTACAGGCTCCAGCTTATTAATACTTATTAATAAGTACTTCAAATAGTGTAGTGGTTAATACATTAAAAACTGTAAGGCTGCACATTTAATTCCAGCTGGAGATATTAGCTTTTAATAGTAATAAAATTCTGGAGCTTACCACCAGCACATTGTTATTATCCATGATTAAGATGGTATATTTCCTTCTGTGTAGCCCATGCAGATATCTGAGGACCTTATGTTGGGTTATTTGGCAGACTGGAGGTGATCGACACTTTTCTCTTTTCTCTTTATATCTCTGTATTTGCAGCACATGCAGTTCTGCAAGGAGGTGCAGAAATTACTGTTAATATGGCCGGGATAGTGGAGATGATCGACACCTTTGATCGGCCCGCTAAGGCATTTGCTGTTGGTCCCTATGCAGGAGCAGGTGCATATGCGGATGGATTTGAGGACAAACCTGGAAAGCGTGTTCCAAAGGCAGGAGTGTATGCTAAGGCAGGAGTGGGCCACGCTCGTGCTGAATGGAGCATTTTTGACGCGGAAGCCAAAGGTCCAAATGCCAGTGCGAGAGCTTCTCTATCTCCTCTCAGTGCACGAGCTTTTGCCAGAGCAGAAGTAGCCAGTGCTTCAGCCTCTGCTGGTCCATTCAAAGCTAAAGTCGGTCTGGCAGTAGATACGGGAGTTGGAATTGGTGCCAGTGGTCTAGAAGCACAAGTTCTAGGAACTGGTTTCACTATTGGCCCTAGAGTGAAGATTTCCCTGTTAGGCAACAGTTTTGAACTTAACCTTGTATAGATGTCGGCTTTATACCAAGAAACCATCATCTATTTATGGCTTCTTGGTGAAACTGATTACTAACTAATAAATAAATAAAATAACTAATTATTTATTAGTTATTTTAGTTATTTTAAACAATGTGTTGGGTAATGAACTTACAATGAAATTCAGAATCCACTTTAAAACTCTGTTATTAACATATTAAGTTGTAGATTACAGGTCCCTGCTTATATATCACAGCTTCTGAGACCTTATCAATGAAGCTGGCATCTCCAGTTCTCTAACCAGGGTTTCCTAACTTTGCCTCGCACTGATTTTAAAAGCAGGGCTGATGGTGCTTTTGAGGTTAGTGCGCCCAAGCTGCTTACTGCTGAAAACACATTTTTATTCATTAGCTTTTCTTTAATGTTCACCTTACAGCCATAGTTGGCAACTATTTGCAGGTATGTGTGTTTGTTGGAATGAATGTCTGAATGCTACGGTTGATTATGTGTCTGTAAATTTGAACATAGCTTCAGTCTGTGGCTTTTGTTTTAATTCAATCTTTTGCTTCAATCTGTTTTGAAAAGTGCTATACAAGAGTATACAAATAAAGGTATTATTATTATTATTGTTACTACTACTATTATTGTTATTATTGTTGTTGTTGTTGTTGTTGTTATGGCAAAAAATTATAATCATGACTACTTTAGTCAGTATTGTAAATATTTTTCCTAATTATTCAGAAAATAAAAATAATGCCATTGCTGGAGTTGTGTTTTTGCAGGAAGTTGCTGTTGTTGAAAAACATGCAAAAAAAAAAATTTTGAACAAAAGAGAGAAAAAAATAAATAAATGATGAGGTGGTGCAGGACGCAAGTTCATCCACTAGGTACAGTTTGGCACTTTTTCACCTGTAAATCTTGTGAATAGGATGAGCAACTGTAAGAGCTTGTCACCACTGTAGGATTTTGAAGGCATAGATGAGGCTGAATAGATGCCTGGGTGGCAGTAGACTCTCCTCATGTCTTAGATCTAAGGAGAGAGGATTTGAGGCAACATGTAGTTAGTAGAATGAGACATCCTTACCTCACAGCCTCATTTTGATTGAGTGATTGATGACAATAGAATACACTGTGCAACAGAGCTACATCATAAATAATTTAGTTTAATTAATTATCCTCCTTTCCTCTGTGGTTTGTATATTTGACCTGTGTGTCTCTTTTATATGTTGAAATCACTTCTAACGGATACACCTGTGTGTCATCCAGCAGGCTTTTATTCATCACATACACTTTAAGAAGAAAGACATCTATCAACATGGCTTTCTGAGATCAGATTCTGGGTCACAGACAGGAAGACAGGACACAGGAAGGCACAAATTATAGAAACTAAAAATGAATTCTGTTTAGCTTGGGGTGAGAAACAGAAATCCAACAGCTAGCTCTCCCAGGCTAACAAGCACCTTGTATGCAAACAATGGATACAGTCTCTGTGATGTCACCTACTGGTTGTGTTGCACTGTATTGCGTTGTGTTAGTTGGCTAACTCTATCCAGACATTTGTTGGTCAAAGTGGCCACACGTGTCTAGCAAGCTGGTGCTCTTTGGTGGTGGAGGAGAGAAAATATCCACAAAGGCCCAAACACTCTTTTAAAATATTTGTTTATTCTCACCCACTGTACATAAATCTGAAGAAAAGTTGTGTATTACTGTGTTCACTGTTCTCACAGTGAAATTCCAGGACTAATCAGCTTTCAATCAGGGTAAAGCTGAAGTCAGAAAATAGGCAAAAACAATTTCAAAGTATACTTCTTTACTTAACTCAAATAACTATAGTTTATTAAGGATTCTAAATAAAAGAGATTCACTTTGATTAACTTTTAGTTCTGACTTAAATATCTGTGGAAACCAATTAACCTTTTTATGTTGATAGATTTGAGCTGGGCATCAGTGATATTTTGCACAGTTTTCACCTCTCGCTATGAACACTTGCTGTCAGCTGCACACAGTGATAAGCTGGTTTAATGCTGTGACTGACTTTTGTAATACCATGGCCATAAAGGCTGCCACAAGCACAGTCAAAAGTTTCACAAGGTGTGCAAACAAATTGACAAAATGACATGTAGATGCAGGGTTTGTGTTCTTTGTTCCCCTTCAAATCTTAGTGTAACAGACGCATGCCAGAACCGACCACATATTCACACTTTCAAACACTTTATTTGCTGTCTCTTGTAACGCGCGGTGGAGATGAAGTGACAAGTGTCAATGCAGTTTATTTCCAAATCATTAAGCCCATTCCCATATCCGGATCTGGCCCACACATGGGCCAGCACAAGGCCAGTTGCAGACACACTGGTGGTCCTGTCCTGGCGCATGTGTGGATTACCTCTGGCAAACCTGATCTGGGCCACCAAAGGGCCATCATTCTTCGCGGTATGTGGGCCATGTGTAAGTTTTGTGCAGCCACAGGGCCAGTTGCAGACACACTGCTGGCCCTGTGCTGGCCCAGAACAGTTTCAGCTCTGGCCCCAGATGTCAGCCTAATGTGTACCTTAATCAAGCCATGTAATAACAACATGTGCATAATAGTGCAAACGTAACATGACAAAATTCTGTTCAGACAGTGAATTAACTTATTCTTATATAGGGCTTTTGTACTCTCCCATATTACTCAATATGCTCTATACAACATTCAGCCAATTTCTCTACACTGAATGCCCCCTAACTACATTCATACACATTCACACTTGACATGTAGACTGGTGGAGTCAGGGATTGAACCACTAACCTTCCGATCCATAGGTGACCTGCTCTACCTCCTGAGACACAGCCCCCCAGTGGTAAACATGAGTAAGCCCTCACTAGGTTTTCGATAAAGTGTACACGCACAAACCTGTCAAACCTGCAACCTGGTTACCATAGCAGTATAGTGTTGCAACATGGCATTTGGGTCTTCTAACTAAAGTAGGAAAATAGGAACCTAAAAAGTCCCACATCTGGTTGACATACACCCTGCCATGACACCAGTCAGTCAGAAGTGCCAGCTTGATACCAGATCCGGGCCAGACCTGCTTGCTATGTGGGCTACTGTTGCCATAATTTGCCCCAAATCATGGATCATCCCATGAATGCATTTTTCTGTTTGTGTGTGTGATTTTGTGTACCTTTCTCTTTGCAGTGCTTCAGATAACTTCTCAATTTTCCCAATTAATAAAGCAGTCATTTTTTTTCCAGTCAATGTCATTTGGCAAAATCTATGTATTTATTTCATTCTGTTTTTTTATTTGTTTATTTTTATTGGTGTAATGATTGGTTCATTGTTGTAACAAACCACTCAGCTGCCTTTCTGCTATCCTCTCTGATTTCAGTTTACTTTATATGTAATGTGAGTCAGTATATGTCAGTGTAGAGAATAAATGACTATTCAAGCCCATCTTCCATTACTGTTGGTTCTTGTTGTGGTGGAAAACGATTCTGGAATTTACCATAGTTTTCTGATTATATAAGACAATTATAAGATTATAAGGCGCATTAAACGAAACATAACAGTCAAGCAAGTCAAACTTTATTCAACTCAGTCACAATAACGTTCAACATTGTTTAGTTGTAACACATAATTACAGAACAATACACTTTCAGTTCATTCCTCTTTCACAATTCCATCAAATTCTTCATCTTCAGTGTCTGAGTTTAACAGTTGGGCGTTTTTTGGCATCAAGTATGCCCAGATCCCTCTCATCACTATCTGAGTCAGTCTTGTTCTTGTTACTTAGCTGTTCAGTAATGATTCTAGCCTTTTGGAAAACAAGGACGACACTTGAGGCTGATACCTTAGCGCAGTCATCCATGATCCATTGGCAGATAGTGGTGTAACTCACCCGCTTCATAAGCATGTCTCTTAACAGGTGCCATTTTGGGGTCCTTATACACACATCATAATATTATGTTGAAGCACAGACATATTACTCCGTGAGGTTTCTGACTACAGTAGCCATAATGCTCCAACAATCCATCAAGCAGTGTGGTTTCTTAGCTTACCAAAGTCATACTAAAACATTTTGACAGATTTTAAGGATTTTAAGTGCACCTTATCTCTGAAAAATACAGTAGCCTACTAAACAAAATAGCGGAAAACAGTAACCAGTAAGACATGAAATCCAATCAACATGTCATCTACTGTAAAGATATCTGAAGAAAGTAAAAAACAAAAAAATGGAAATACACTCGGCATTCACACCTACAGGCAATTTAGAGTTTTCAATTAACCCCTATCCCTACTAAATGCATGTCTTTGGGAGGAAGCCAGAGGACTCACACAAACACAGGAAGAACATGCAAATTCCACACAGAAAGACCCGAGCCTGATGGTGGAATTGAACACAGAACCTCTTTGCTGTAAAGTAGCAGTGCTAACCACCACACCACAATGCGACAGCATTTGCAGCACATTAACTTTATATTTAAACCAGGTAATTTATTTTTGTTTTATTAATTTTGTATTAATACCACGTGGAAAGCATGTGATATACTGCAGCTTTATTTCTGACAATGAAAATGATCCCAAAACATTTTGCCAGCCCAGTAAATTCATACCCAGATAGAAAAAAAGCACAGTGGCCATGTATTGGCCTCTTCACAGCCT